TATATGCCTACATGAATCCAGAGGACGGCGCAGTCGCTTGCCCCCAACCGTAGAGCTTCAACTTGATTTTAGTGCAATATTTAATGTATTAAATATAAGTATTACGTAAACCTATTTTAGGTATATTTCAAGTTACATATATTTCTATCAAAAAGGAAACTCGCATTATCATTATAAGAAGTTGTTGCCTGAGTTCATTCCTCGAGCATACCTGTGTATATAATCAATTAATGTATTTTATGTAAATATTGTTGATGAGTCGGCATAATTAATTTCCGGCAGAACCTTGAATGGTTGCCAAATGATGGCCGCAGGAAACGCAGCAGGTGGGAAATTCGCCAAAAAAAAATTAACAAATTTTTTTATATTTGCTAGGCTTCTGTGCTGGCTGTGCGGCCGATTCATTTAGCTAAAAGTCTGAGGACGAAACAATAAAATGCTGAAAGAGACAAGCGGGCGAACCGGCGTCTTACGCAGTGCCATTGACCCACGCGCCGAGAAACAGAGAGAGAGAGAGAGAGAGAGAGAGACATAGAACGTACGGGAAGTACCTGTTAAAGTGGCCAAGCTCATTGTAGTTATGCGTGTGTGTGTGTGAGTGGAGTGTGTGTATATCTTGCGGATTTGGGTTAATGTTGTAACGTTGGTCAACATGGGTGAAAGGGCGCAATAAAGCAGAAAATAGAAAAATTACTCAGCGGCACACACAGAAAAAAGGGACGACCAGAGACGTTCCGGCTTACCCTTTCGCTCGCAATTCTCGCAATAGATAATTGCCCCGCTGTTGAGCTCAAATTGGTCACGGTAACGGGTAATTTTAAGCTAGCTGTAATTAAATTTTAGACTTGGTCTAGAATTAGTTGTTTGTGTTTTCGGGAACACTCGATGTTTGGGCCAGGAGCTAGTACGACTTGGGTAAGAAACGCATGTTTGGACCTTTTTGTTTGTGTTACGCATTATTATGCATAAAATGTGCCTAAGTTGCCCCCACAAGCCAAGTCAGCAAGCGCTTTGATGTCCTTTGCCAAGGACTATTCGCTTAAATCAAAGCATTTACATTGGCCGTCGTCTGTTGATTTGACTGAATGCTGAAGTGCTGAGCAGTCAGTCGGGTCGCAAATTCTTGAAAGCCGAAAGCCGCAAAGAAAAAGGCAATAAGCCGTATAAGTGGACACTTTATAAGGCGCACCACCAACCACCGCCCGTGCAACAACAATGGGAATAGAAAACAGCCTTTTGCAATAGGCATTTGGTCAGCCATTCAAAAGGCATTAAAATTGATAAATTGCCATTGCACTCAAGTCTCTTAAATCTTGATATAACATTCGAGCAATAAAACTGGAAAACCTCAATTTATTTTTGACATTTGCCATAAGAGAGGTCAGCTCTCTTCCTCTCTCTCACTCTCTCACTCTCTCACTCTCTCTCTCTTTCTCTCTCTCTCTTTCTCTGACTGTAGATTTCAGCAACTGCTTGACCCACGCAGTCGGAATGCAACTTGTTTGTACTTTTTGATAAGAACTTTATGCAAACTTCTGTGCCATAAGCGATATTATTTAGCTCACGTTAATGCAAACTGACATTAATCGGCCTAGCCGCTGAGCCGCTAGACCCAGTGCAAAGTTTTCTTAAGTCAAAATTCAGTCTCGTAAAGCCAAGCGTGTTGCGGGCGCTGCCAGCAGAGCTATTCAGCAGACAGCAGACAGCGGACAGCTGAGCTAAGCAGTTCAAGTTGCGACGGCCATATACCCTGGCTCTTTATTTTAGTTAACTTTCTCATTCTTGTTCATTTTATATATGCATATATATAAGTATATAGTACCACATTATGTTTGATTAGTTTGCCTTTAAGCTTTAAAATAAAAAACAAAATAATATTTATAAATATTTTTATTATTTGAAATTAAAGATAAAGTAATTAAACATAATGTGGAGGCTAAATAAGGACATAATTATATTTCAATCACATCATCAAATCGATGGATTTGCTAGATTCCTCAGATACGCTCCAACTTGCAGACATATATGGTTAGTAAAACGATCGAAATGCAAAAAAAAAAGTAGTTATATATATTTTTCTTTATTTTTATTTTCCAAATTAAAGATAAAGTAATTAAACATAATGTGGAGGCTAAATAAGGACATAATTATATTTCAATCCCATCGTCAAATCGATGGATGTACTTTATTTGCTAGACTCGTCAGATATGTCCCAACTTACAGACGCATATGGTCAGTAAAACAATCGAAATGGAAAAAAATAATAGTTATGAATATTTACTTAAAAAGTGTAAAAGAGCACAGATTAGCATAAAGCATTTGTAAGCGACATTTCTTATTAATATGTGAAATGAAGCGCATCAACAGTTCTTACTCCGTCTCTGCTCCTCGCTTTTGCTCTCACGGCTAAGGTGGATCAGCTGAGTGCAGCATAGAAAGCTGTTCGCATTTAGTAACTCATTCATTCACTAACCATACAACATAATACCAAACTAAGTCTTCCTCAATTTGTAATTGTTTTTCTCATATTGTGTGTTAAATATCGATATTAGAGATTTTGCAGATCTATATAATTCATAGTTTGGCTATCATTCAAGTCGAGTGTGGTGCGAAAAAACTAGCTAAGGTTCTAGTACAAGAGTTGAAGGCTCTAAGCTGTATTTAAATTTCCAATAATGCAAGTCATTCTAGGATATTGCCAAGTCAATCATCAGTAAATATATTAAGCTGCTATTTGCCGCTGCTGTTGTTGTTGGCTTTGCAGTTTGTTGTTTACTCCTCGGAATTAGCATAGCAAAAAGAAATTAGCATAAAATCAAATCAACATTGTGAGGTCTTGGCTGTTGTCTCCTGTCTCCTGTCTCTTGTCTCTTGTCTTCTGTCGTCGGCTGGTGCGCACAGCTGCTCTGTGGGAAATTGTGAAATCGAGATGTCGTCAGATGAAAACTGAAAAGTTCACATTTCCTTCGCCAGTTGGACAGTTGTTGAGTAGACGAGACGAGTGACACCTCAGCCCGCACAGCTTGTTGATCTCTATAATTTATTCAATTGAATTGCTCAGCCACGAATAAAAGCCTGACTGCTCTGTCATCGATTCGACTGGGTGAAAGTTCAGTTAGCTTGTCGATTCCAATTTGATTATTATTCAATAGCAATAGCAATAGCAGTTAGTTAATAGAGACAACAGGGCGTATGCGCAATTCAATGAGCGTGACATTTCTGTTGCATACTTTTGGCTGCCAGTGAGGTGGCTCAATGTAAACCGGAATAGAACTGTTTGCTTAAGCTATTTTCGCTTTAAATTCTGTGCCCATTTCTCGATATGGGCATTGAGTGGCGAGCTGGAGAGCAAACACCAACAAATATAGAAAGCGAACCGCCAGTCTGTCTGCTGCCATTTATAAAACATAATTGAAATATGAGATTGACATTGAATAGCAACGCTTTGTTGCTGCTGCTCCATTTAATGTTGTTGTTGTTGCTGTTGCTGTTCTTGTTGGCACTTTTGTTGTGCTCGTGAGCCTTTCACAGTGGCATTGCGACAATATTTTTGTTATGTCTCGGCGCTTGTTGCTGTTGTCGCCAGCATCTAATTGATTAATGTTAATAGATGAACAAACAGCATTGCGACTCTCGCTCATATTTAATTTCTCAGCATAACGACTAGAAAATGAAGGCAAGTGCAGTTTGTTGATCTCGCATTATGTGTGCGTGTAATGGACACTTATTTATCGTGCCCACTGTGTCTCTGCGCCCCTTGCGCCCCTGGCCATATGTCGAAAATGAAGACTAAATACATTAGCTTGAAGCGTTTATTATACGCTTGCCGAGTATATTATAACTTTGTTACTTAATGTTTAACGCCTGGAAATAGATGTTGCTGACCCAATAATGTGCTAAGTATTATATTGATCATTATTGTTAAGCGATTCAATTTGCTGTCTATTCTGCCTCCGTCTCTATGTTTCTTTAAATACAATTGAGTCGTTTGTCTTATAAAATTTCTTTACCTCACTCTTGCAGGCAGAACATAAAATGTTTCGTGAAATTCGTTGGATCGCAGCATTATATCATTATAACTAGATTGGCATTTTTTTTTTATATATTGCTACAGAGTAAACATTACAAGCATTAGGACATTTCCGGGTATTATATTTGCCCTGTGTATGAGTATGATTTATGGCTACAGCTGCGAATAGGTAACAACTCTATTGTTAAGTCGGGGACTCTCCTATACTTGTGTATTGTACATAGTAACAAATAAAAACGATTGGCTCGACGCTGTGCTTTGTGTAAGAAGCGCGGAACAGGTTATGCAGTAGAGTGGAATTGTGCTACTCCACTCCATTTTCATTTTTATTTTATTTATTGCCTTTCTTTGTGATATTCAAGTGGAATTTCTGCAATTTAATCACAGCCTTTCAATTATCTGGAAACAGTTAATATTACGGGATGATTATATTGCATAATACATACGTATATAATTTTCTAAAAATTAGTTAATGTGAAACATTCAAACTTTTCTAATCAATACCCTGAATTCAGAGTAAAATATATAATGACAATGTTTAGATTGAATCTCTTTAAGAAATTGTCTGAATTAAGCAAGTAAATTGTCTAAGACACCCTCTGTTAACTCCTTTACGCTTAACATAAATTGCGCCCTGTTAAGGACAACAGCTCACGATAGTGTGCTATTGTGTCTCTTAACAGTGGGCAGCAGCTATGCTAAGCGCATTAACAGATTTATGTTATAAGTACGTGCTTACATTTTATGTCGGCTGCGAAAGAAGTGGCCAGAGTTCTGATGCCAGAGGCTTAACTTTAAGATCGACTTATTTCTCTTGCAATTTGTATATTTATTGAATGGCCAAATTTAATCAAAGCCAAGGTGAGAGCTGGAGCTGGTGCAATTGTCAAATTATCGCCAGCTAAAGAACAACAATGCCAGCCACACACATTTAATACACACTCGCACGCACAGACAGAGTCGAACTCACCTAAGGCAAACACGTTCCTCCTCCTGCTCGGCGTTCATTGTTTTGTACTGTTTGGCTGAGGCCCTGCCTCCGGCCTGTGCCTGGTGTCTGTTTTTTGTGGATATCCACTCCTCGTCAAGTGCGTGGGTGGGGGGATTTTTTCGGATGCCAGTCACTGACAGCTGGCAGCAGTTGAGAATCCTCGAGTTCGGCAATATTTGCCGGGCTTTAAGGTGCTGAAAGTCGTTTTAAGCTGTTGTCAATTTGCCTAATACCGCACAGCGACGTCGAGCAGCGGCAGATGAGGTTGTCTATTACATGATTTGGGCGCGGCCTGCAGAGAATTGCCGAGCTGTAAGCAAATAAACAGGAAATCGCATATATTTCATAATACTTGAATACTTGAAAAAATGACTGTCACCGTCGAGTCTATAAATGCTTAAAATTCCACAAAAAGCTGTCAGCAGGACTATGAAGCGGCAACACTGAGTTGGCCGAGACACTTGCTGCTTGTCTGCTGTCTGTCCCCGTTCCCTCCACTTAGCCAAGCCATTCGCATTTAACAATGCCAGTATATAATTTAATAAATAGTTGCAGTTGACAGATTTCAAGTGGAAACGGGGCAAGTGTGGCTGCCACTACATGTCCCCAACAACAAGACAGCAGGCCCTGCAACACTACTAACAGCCACATCAACAACAACACCACAACAACATCAGCTTTGACTGAAAAATGAGAAAACAACAAAAACAATGCTTCTACAAAGCAATACTCGTATATCAACGACGACAAGTGCAAAAGCGTGTGCAAGAAGTGCCAAGCAAGCGAGGGTTTCTAAGCCTAACCTCGCACCGAGAATACCCTCTTGTATGGAATACGAAAATTCATTTGATATATTTAAATACATGCAGTCGAGTTGCATAAATTTGTTCTAGTCGTAAGGTACAATAATACAAATTTATAATACCATAAAATTCTATATATTTCGATTCAATTGTCTGTTTGTAATATTTATTATATACTCTATAACTGTGTACATGCTACCAATTGTGATTTTCTCTTTGCTATTTAATGCATCTATCAAAAATAAAATAAACTTTTGTATAAAGTCATTGGTAGTGAAAAAAGAATTATTCACGTCGCATTTATAATTCTTAAATTTAAACTATTTACAAACTCTTATCTAAAATGTAATCCCTGCTCAATCGAAATGAAAATAAAGAGATTACGTCTGATCCCATGCCATTTAGAATTATAAGGCTTCCACTTTCATATATAATTAGTATTCCAGTAATACCAATCGCTCTACTTAAATAAGGAACAGCTTAATATCACTACAATAGAACCTATAGTGAATAATCATAATGATTAATCATAATAATAACTTTAATAATTAATTAATTAATGCCTACGTTTATAATAAAATCAATGTTTCCATGGGCCTGGTTGGCCCACTAATGTAATTTCTGGTTTTAATTCTATTGGCGGAGATCCTTAATAATGATTGGCTGTGTGATCCGATATTATGATTTTACAAACTGTAAAACAAATAGTTTATTCTGTCTTGAAACGTTTAGAAATATAATCAATCAAAATATAGTCAATCTTACATTTTCAGATTGTACATGTGAAGTCGGGATAGATCCGGTCGTAAGACAATGATATCGGCAGTAAATATTTTTTAAGCTGAGTGTTTTTTTATACGGCAATGCTTATTTGAAAATAAATATTATTATTTACTATTAATATAATAGATATTTTAAATATATATGTTAATAAAAGAAACTCAATAATTAATAATTATTAAAATTCATTCTTGTACAGGAACTTCAAAATACTTGAGGACATAAAACGTTGACAGTAATATTATATTGTGATGTAGAAAGATAATGCATTTTTCTTTATTAATTAATTTAGCTCAATTAATCTTAAGTTGAGCTGATTTGGTAGATCGGGACTTGATCTTTAAGTAGACTTTAGTATGTGATATTGTGAGGCTACTCACATTATCAATGAATTTTATACGTATTTAATAACTTTAATATAATAACTGAACTACATTTCTTACATTTTATTTTATTCATTTTTTAATTTTTTGAGAACCGATAAAGTCAACATAAGAACTCTTGACACATTATCAGATAGGTATGAGGTTTGAGCTTCAAAGGCAATAAATTGCCCTATATTCACACAGGCGGCCAGGCAGGACATTGAACAAAATCAATATATATTTGCTTTCTACTTTGTGAATATGAAAACTCTGTTAGCACAGCCTTTGTAAATCGAGTTAAAATAGTAATCTAATTAATTAGTGCATTCTGCAGTTGGTCAGTTGCAAAGAGTTTCAGTTACCAAAGCCGTGATTCGTGCGCTGTGTAAAGCATTCGCTTGACATGCGAAACTTTAAAGGTAAACGAATATATGTATGTATATGTGAATGTATTTATATTGCATTTGTTTGTTGCGCATAGCAAGCACTGAGAATGTAAAGCACTTTGCATCCGGTTGCATGGGCAGAGTATCCAGCAGCCGGCATGTGATTCCCTGCGGCCACATCGCCAGCCAAGCGACATCCACATCAGCTGCAATTGAATCAGTGCGTGCAGCTCGGTGGCCACTTGGCGATGCTGTTTGAGGTTGCCTGAGCAGGGCCATGGCAGCTGGCGAGCAACTGGCAACTGGCAACTGGCAACTGGCGGCAGTCGGCGGGCAGCGACATTTACACTTAATTGGAGGGCCGTGTTCTGCGCCTTGGCGCATTATTAAGTCATAAAACTCAATTTGAGGCGCTTCAGCAGGATGCACTTACGCGTAATCGCATTTCTGTCGGGGCTGTCTATTAGCCCGTTGGTATTTTAAGGCAATTTTTCATGGCAGTAACTCGCTCACACTCGCCATAAAGCACCGTTTAAGGCCGGCGCTTTGCAGTCGCAGGGACACACTTTAAAGCAGGACGCTGCCGGAGTGATCTGCATCCTGTTGCGCGAAAAAAGCGTGTCAAGCGGAAGGTGTCCAGGCGGACAGCTACGAGGGCACGGAGAGCAATTTCTTTCACGCATTTTCCGTCGAGCAGGTTGACAATGTAACAAGTTTATGAGTGGTGCAACGTACCTAAGTGCCTGGACTGCGCTGTGCCACATCCTTGCTGTGGCATTTATCCTGCGCTTGCCATGCAGACACTGAATGCGCCCGGAGCTATGGCTAGAATATGCTCCATATAAAAGGAGCCATGTATTCCCCATGACAGGGTTTTAGTGATTTGTGAGCTGAAAAGCTCAGGCCACCATAAACAAGATTTTACATGTTAGACTACAGTACATTAAGATCGATCAGTGGATACCCTGACAAAAATTTTAATGAAATTCTCGTAGAAGAGCGAGAAAAATAAAGTAAAAATATAGAAAATATAGTAAAACATAGATATAGAGGTATATATAGGCATACCATAACAATTTAGGAATTCCGAGTTGTATCCTATAAAAATGATATCTCAATTGTTCCTAATTGAAGATGAAGCTAATTTAGAAAATATATATATAAGCTTTGAATATGGGGAAAATCTATGTAAATGTAAAAATATATACATATATGTTCTATGGGTGTGAACTATATGCTATATAATCTGTCCAGTTGATTAACTCTACAAACGCTCAATTATTCTTTACAATATTAAATTCAGCATATCATTTATGTACCTATTTAAATAAACCCTCATCTGAATAAAAATAAACACAGCTGAATTTTCTTAAAGCGATAAATATACATTGCCGCACAAATCAGAAATAGTTTATAAATAAATTCTTATCAGTTGATGCCGTAAAAGCTTAAGCACAAACTTCAAATGAATGATTCATAGTTTATATTTCACATTTTAAAGATTTATATGTAAATTATTTTACATAAAAGCTGAAATTGTTAATAGTTTCATTTTTCGTCGGAATATACTTCCTATAAGTTTCAGTTGAACAAAAGCGCGAAATGGTGATCCCACAATCCCCAGGAAATCGATATGACTAATGGGCAGAATGCCGCTTGAATTTCATGCTTCCCAAAGCATCGACCTTACGGGTTATTGAAGGAAAGCAAGAGAGAGAGAGAGAGAGAGAGAGAGGGAGTGAAAAAGAAAGAGAGACGTAATGGAATATGTAGATTTGAATCATAAGTAGACTCTCTTGAAAAACTAAATATATGCCTTAATAAAACACGTTGCAATCAATTTAAGAGAATTTAATTATAAAACATTGAACATCAAAATATAAATCAATAAAGATTTAGAAGGGTTATGTTATTTATGTTATTTATTATTATGATTTTCGTATATAAATGCATCTAATTCAATTTCATAGCTATATCAAATAATAACAGATAATACTGGTCAACAAAATTTATTATTTTCAGTATATAAATATTTGAATATATATTTAATAATTAGTATTATTTTAATTATATCTTTGCAATACGATTGAAAATACTGAAGGCGTTAGATTCATATGGACAGGCATCTCAGATATTGCTAAAATAGTTGTTTAACACAATATGTTTAAAATAATGACTTGCAACGACATTTAGTTTTTCTTAAACAAAAATAATCACTATTTATTTTTTGCTGTTGCTAATAATGTATAAAAGTATTAATATTGTATTAAAGTAGAATCTATTTGCATTAGTTGATTCGTATAAACGAGGCTTTTTCAGCATTCAGACAAAATTAAATAAAGCAATGTCGAAAGTTGGGTCTTCTTCTTTGTGGAAGAGTTCGTTATGTGTCCTATCAGTTCAATGGTACCTTTCAGCTATGCTTATATTTCTGAAAGGAGCTTTTGGTTCATTAGGGTAGAGTATCTTAAGCTTATATGGGATGGTTGCCTTTTCAGCTTTGCCAATGGGATTAGTCATGAAGCCTTTGGTCAAGATAGAAACAGGTAGGCCTTAATTCTGGTTATTAAGTTCTATTGCTACGCTCTTATCACTTAAGCCGATTTTAACAGTTGTAAGACAGGTTTTTAGTCATATATAAAATTAGTTTAAATCCACTCTCTCGACTTTAAACAGACTCATATATTTATATGCCCTCCTGCAACTCTTCAAAATGGGAATATGCTAGTCGTGGACTTTTCAGGACTTGTATAAAGTCCTAACCCATATACCATGTTCACCTTTTGAAAGGGCAGAAACGTGTATTGAAATTTATGACGCTCCTTGCCTGAATATCGTCGAAATACCCTTTCGTTTTGCCAATACACACACACACTGAGGCACACACACGTACACTGAGGCACACACACACACGTGCATTTTGCAAACACGCACAGCAATCCTCATATAATTCGTTTGAGGAAGAATCAAGGGGTC